CGCCGTGGGAAAGGTGTGTCTTGCCTCTTGGGCTGACAGTGATCCTGTGCGCTTGAGCCATTCCGAGCATTTGGCTGTCACATTGTAGACATCGAGGCCCTTGATTGGCTGAAGAGACGGATGAACAGCTTGGCGCGAGCGCGAGAGTTCGCACTAACTAGGCCGGGATACAGAACAGGCGCCTGCAACTTGAAAGAACTTCACTTGAACGTGGGCCCTGCACACTACGACACTACCTCCGGGGTTGCACACCGTCCTATTACTATCTATGCACCTGGCACAACGTATGCAAGCGTTTCTTGCCGGGCTGCTAGATTTGCTTATCAAAGCGAGATGATACATGCGTTGTGATCTAGCGTCCCCCTGTTGGTTTAGCAAACTTAAGTTTTATGCGACTCACCTCTCTCAGAGACCTAGGGTGTGTCGCTCTTTCATCACAGCCCATTTATCTGACATATTTGCCGAGCATTAAGGTATTTGCATAGGGTATCGTCGTGCTTCTGCATATCGGACGTGGTTATCTGAACTTTATCTTGTTAGACAAGTGACTTGACTATATGACGGTTCAAACGTCGCGAAAACGATGTCTACCATGTGCCCTACAACATGGTGGGCGTAGGATGCTGACTTACGTTTGAATTAGTTCGTAGTGATAGCAGACCTGCATGGCTTCCACCGTGCTCTCTTCCTCATCTGAATCCGGTGACAAAATAGAGACAGGACAACCGGAAGCGGACTCAGGCACAGTGGCCGACAGGTCTAAACAGCTCGTTTAGGCTTGCCGCACACGACCTGGCCCACGCACGATGAACAAGGTTTCCATAGAAACGAGGGGACGGTTCAGATCCCTTCTGAGAGGGAACGCCATAGAGACCTCGGTAGAAAGTAGCAACTGCAGCCTAACTCTCCGTCCTGAGAGGACTGAGTTATCTCGTTAGATGGCACCCTTCAAAGCCACGACTTATAGCGCGTTGCGATAAGTTCGAGCGCGTCAGATTTATAGTGATAAATGTCCTGAAGTGCCGTGGGGTGGATTCCTCAGAGTCGGCTTCGCCCCCTACCCCCCTCCCTGGCACCTGTCTCTTATCCGAGCTTGTCAACCATCTGGTGCTGGAATTATGCGCAGTCTGGCGCGGCGTGAAATTTACGCCGAGGCGTGCCACCATTTCCTTATTTGTGGCAGTTGTTATGTGATTATCTGACTCTGCACAGCTTGCTTACTGAGTGCCGTAGCCAACCTGGCTGCTGTTTAAGCCCAGCGCATCTACAACGTGGCCCGTTCTGGTGAGGGTGGGGCAATCCTAACTATAGGCAATAGAGGACGCATTATTTTACAGTTAAAAGTGTACATTGATGACTTTTGAGCCGCATTGTCTTGTCCGACTTTGAATCACACACAGCGTTTGGATACTTATCTCGAAATTACCCATGATTCATTTATTCTGAATGTATCCTTTAGCCTGAAGGTCAAAGCCATCATAATAAGAGGAACAAACTCACTAACCTACTCGCCGAGATTATTACTTGGCGTGCGTTGAATGCCAATACAAAATGACGATGACTATTTAGGGAAAGAGTTTGATTCTGCGGAAAATTTTTCCTATAGTTCCTATCGTCTAGTGTAGTTGGAGCAACGTAACCCGCAGTGGCTGTGCGAGGAGTCAACCGACGTAAAGGGAAAAGGGTAGTCGCATTGAAGGTAATGAGGGTACTGAGCTAGATGGGATCCGAGCGGAAGCAGACATGGGTATTGCATGAATTGGACTACCTGGAAACTCGCAAGGCTCGACAACTCCGAGCTGGTTGTTGGTGTTCGAAAACATATGGATCACAGGTTTCCCGGAAAACGTATTCCGAAGAATCTGAGGTCTTTGCCACTGCAGTTGTTACAGACCGCAGTTTAAAGCTTGTGAACACGGCCCAACCCTTTTGCTTCAGCACGACTATTTTCTCATGTTGTTGGTAAACTGGATTTTATAACAAGTTCGCCCCAGCCCTTTAAAATGGGACTTACATTCTGAACCAACAAAATTGGTTATTGTGTCGTATATTTTAGTGCAATCCGTATCTTCTTTTAGAGTGCGGTGCAAAAGGAAATTCTGGAGTTGGAAATGCGGGCGCGGGCCATCCGAGCAATGCTGAATAAAGCGAAAAACTAGTCACTTCAGATGGACAATTTGATCATTTGTACCATAAACATTTTTCTTGAAAATTATTTTGATGCCAAAGTGCCCTCTTGCTGATTAACCGGTTACGGGGAGTAACACACCCTTTAGTTATTTGTTGCATATTGGCGTCAGTGTGGTGTGCTCTCATGTTCCCTCGTTTGTGTTTCATCCTTCACTGACTCATCTTGCGTTAAAGCCGCCTTTTTTCCCTCCTCCTTATCTGGCTCTTGTGCATATTTATATCTTCTAACTGTTCGACATTCTGTCCAGCGCCCTAAGTAGGTAACCGAATAAGTTCTCGTCAACGCGTTGCACAGTTTTGACTGTCGAATTTGGGCCAGAACACCACTTGACTGAGAAATGTGCCGGCCACATCCTCTTACAAACGTTAAACTATGATCACCTATAGAATGTAGTTTCGGGTCAGTGTTTTCGCGTGTAATCTCCGATTAATGACTGCCATATTGAATGTGTGGGCACTTTTAAACATACTGTGCCAAAGCTGCCGTCAAGCAGAGTAGTAACGACGTCGTCGCTTGAGCCGATTTGGCTCACGGGGCTTTTGCAGGCTCTCCGATCAGTCCCCCTCTGTGGTTGCAAATTCTGGACTGTGTGCATAGAAGACAAACGAAGACTGTCCTTACCTCCACTGTCTGAGGAAGATCCACCAAGTTTGCCGCCTTCGTCTGGAATGGGATAGTTCACATTCACAACGGGATCGCAAGGGTATCAGACCATTCGAGGAAGACGAACAAGGTTGAATAGCATTACCAACAAAGACCAGAGAGAACAGAATGGTTATTTCTGGCTTGTTGGTCCTCATCAGTCAGCCATGCCCAGCCTGTAGGTGTGCAACCCCCAATGCCCGAACTCGCGACCTGTTGGTTTGTGCGCACCCATTATTAATACACCCGATCGCAACCGACAGGGCAACGAGCCCTCGTCTAAATTGTTAGGGCTTTGGATTCCCAACCAACAGGTCCCGAGTTTGAGCCTCGGGGTTTGCATACCTCGGAATTGGGCATGACTAGCTGATGACGGCTAACAAGCCAGAAGTGGCCATTCCGCTCTCCCTTTGTCGGCAATGCTATTCTGCTTACATTAAGCGCCGCTGTGTGGCTGCTGGCGGGGCACGAGAGAGAACCCTAAGGTACAACGGAACAAGTGAGTTCTGTAACGCGATTGGTGTGCCCTCTCTACTGCAGACAAGGTTTTTTGGGCCCGCCCTGTGTCGTTGACCCCGTGAGTTTTGTGCTGCCGTCCTAAGTTTGACATCGTTAGCTCCAGAGGCGGTGGTGGGGTCGGCCCAGAACCCACCTTTGCCCAGTCAAGGCATTGGATGTTTTCCGGGGTAAAGAGTGATGCGAGATCTCAGGACCGCTGCCGCTTATCGCCGGGCGTGGGCTACCGTCGTCAACATCACTGAGGCATTATCTCCTATTTTTTTCCTTTCCCATCCGACTTACTTCCCTCCTACCTCTACACACTTCCCCAGAGTCCCCTTTCGTATTTTCTGCCGCCCCGACCTGAGGACCACTGAAGACTACACAACTGGCTTTGTCTCTGTATTCGTTAGGAAATGGCATTTATCTGCTACTCTTCGTCTCTATCATAAGGTAGGTGGCATAGCATTTCCGACAAAGACAAGGGAGACTGGAATGGTCATTTGTGGCTCACTAGCCGTCGTCAGCCAGTCTTACTCAACACTGAATTGTGGGGCACGATCCCGCGAACTGTTGGTTAGAAGTTCAACGTCTCTAACCACTGAGCCATGGGCTTGTTGTCCTGTCGGTTGTGGTCGAGAATATACAGTGGTGAAAGGGCACTCACCGATCGTTTTTTACGGAACACACTTGTCCCGTTGTGCCTTCGGTCTCTCGCGAGACTGTCGGCAACGCTATTCTGCTGGTTGGGCTCGAGAGAGAGCGAGAGCTCTAAGGCACAGCGGGACGAGTGAGTTGCGTAAAAAATGATCGGTGAGCGCCCCTCTGTCATTGTATACGCTCGATTGCAACCGACACGACAATGACCCCGTGGCTCAGTAGTTAGAAATGTTGGACTTCTAACCAACAATTCGCGGGATCGAGCCCCAGGTGTCCCACACTTCGGTGTTGGCTACGACTGGCTGACAACAGCTAATGAGCCAGAAATGGCCATTCCAGTCTCCCTTGTTTTTGTCGGTAATGTCATTCTGCCTATATCATGCGTCGCTGTGCGCCCACTGGTTTGGCTTGAGAGAGAGAGAGCCCCAAGGCTCAACGGGACGAGTGAGTTGCGTTAAAAACGATCGGTGAGCGCCCCCTATCATAAGGTATTTGGGTGGCCTGAATTTATGTTTCCCCATGGGGTAAACCGCCTTTGATTCTAGGCAAACTGGACCTGACACGTGAGAGTCCCGATAATAGTGTAGATTCGGACGTTCGTTTCGCTGGTTAACTTGGCAACGCTACCGGGCTTTGTATGACCGCCGCGTCGTGTACAATTGGCAAGTGCTGTTTCCCTCTTATTATTCACACTGTTGACCTATCGCCTGTTTAATGTGTTCACGTACCCAATCTTCACAAATATCAACTCTGAGAAGGACAGAGGGGGACTTCCTTCTAGGGTAGGTGAAATTTGACGTAAAAAATACTTGGCCTCTGGGTTGCTTCCTTTCCGATGCAGGGTCAGTCCACCTTTCAAATCATGGCTACATGTAAGAACGCGCCCTGTGGATGTAGTAGGTTCAGTAGTCTGGGATTGCCACCTTACTGGCCGGCGTGGAACTTCGATTGATAATTTTGAACAGGCGCACTGTGGCCGGCTTGTCAGAATCCACTGGAAGCACGCACAATGAGCAGGTCTGGTCCTCTGCCACCAACTGCAGTGATCGACAGAGAGCGCTTTTTTGCTGACTGGATGACCAAAAGTGATAAAAAGTGCTCAAAGTCCTGGTTTAAGATACGCTCTGAGAAGATTATCGACTTTCTGGCTCTCGGGCTTGAGGGTCGACGCGATAAGCTGCGGGCTATTTTGGACAAGGAAGCCGAAGATAACATGAATGCATGCAAGGAAAAGCTCCGTCTGATGGAAGTTTCTCGGAAGGAAGCAGTTATAGAGGAGGCAAAGCGGTTGAGGGCTTTCATTGAGAAACGGAACAATGAGTTCTCTGAGCGGGCTCGTGAGCAAAGAATGAGAATTTCCTGTGCTGACTATCGCAACAACAAAGCGAAACAGCTGGTTAAAATAATGTCCGAGGACCGGAAAATGATTGATCAGTTTGGTGAGTTCAGGAGGGCTTACGAAAAAGACCGTGAGGACAAACTGAACAGTCTTAAATGGGATTTTATCACTGACCTGAATGGAAAAGAGGAGGCGCGCCTTAAACTGAAGCACGAAAAGGAACTTGAAAACTTTGAAGCTCTGAAAGGCCAGCTAGCTGAACACTTGACTCAGAAAAAGTGGGAAGCCGAGACCAAGAAGGAGGAGGGCAGGATGGTTGACAAGGAGATTGCGGCTGTGAAAGCACTTAAACTAGATCAGGAAAAGAAGAGGTTAGAAGCGCAGGCGGAGACGCGCCGTATCCTTTCCTCCGCGATTCAGGAACAGTTGGGAAGGAAACAAGAAAGGAAAGAATGGGAAGAGAGCTTTAACCAGGCAAGTGCAACTTCCTGGAAGGATGTGGAGGAGGGTGAATCAGTAGCACGTGTGCGGCGAATGCACCGACAGAATCGCGAAGCTCGCTACTTTCTAGAACACCAGGAACAACTTCGAAAGTACAGACAGTGCGAGGAGGAGATCAAAGACAAGCTCATAGCAGAAGATGCGGAGAAGGAGCGTCAGTTGAAGAGAATGAGAGAGGCCGAAAGAAGGGCTTTCCTAAAGAAACTCGAGGAGGAGACATATGCCGACCATCGTAATGCTACGGCTCTCAAGACACAACGTCTGAAGGAGATCAAGAAGCTAGAGGAGGCTGAGTTTAATAAAATGTTAGATGCACTGAAAGCGCAAGAACTGAAACGAGAAGAGGAAATGAAATCCAAAGAAAGAGAACGCATAGCTATTCGCGAAGCCCAGGTATGTCAGCTGGAAGATCGACGAAGAAGGCGAGAAGAAGAGGCACAGAAACTTCAGCGTGAACGCGCTGGCTACGCACAGGCCGAGGAGGACTATTTGGAACGGCTAAATAAGGTAGCCAACCCGGTTCCAGTAGGTGACTTCAACATCCACCCATGGCGCAAGAAGGCGATGAATTTGCCTATGGACCGCTGATTACATCTTTCACCATGAAGATCTATGTAGAGTTCTGATCAGTGGGCAAATACCCAGCCTCTGGATTGGGCTTGAGGTGCGCGTATCATTAAATTTACACAGTACGGTATTCCTCCGATTCAATCATGGCTCAATCCGATGTGCACCCAATTGTTACTTTGGCGAATAAAGATGTTTACGACGTGTCAACCAGCCGCTGCGATTGTCTGGAAAGCGATTGGCAGTTTCACTAGTTGAAAAGGCGGTTTCAGGAGACAAGAGCGCATGAAAACGACGAGGAGCTTCGAGTAGCTGGTTGGCATGCTATGCACTAATTCCTGGAACTATTCCAGCTCCTTAATTAAATGCGAAGTCAAATTTAGAGCGATACTTGGTATGGACGTTAGAATTCGAAGAAAACGTCCTCCATGAGATTCGTTTTGCAAACTGGGGATAAAATACCTTTATGTCGAGTCTGTCGACGGTCACAGTTCGAAGTCCCACGACCTACGTTGCAACACCGCCAATCGCAGAGCGAGAAAGCCAGCACACCTACAACAGTCCGACCTCACAGGTGACGATCTCCACCACTGTTCCGTGATTATACGTAGTCATGATTGGCACGTTTATTTGTTTATGGGGAGACGAACTTGCGTTCCAACTACCTTCCCCCTGTACCCATACCCACTATATTTTTATGGTAAGGCAAAGTTAAGGTGGCAAGAGGTGGACGTGGGTGCCGTGTCAGACAAGGCTGAACGGCCCATCTACACGTTCCAATCGCGATCTGATCCCTATTCTTGCAAGAACCGGAGTCCTATCAGATTTGGACTCATATCTCGTGGTCAGACTTGATTGGAATCGCAATTCCCATAAGTTGGTTATGCATTTTCTTACATACGACGTTTTGTTCGTCCTAACGATGCAGGCAGATTGCACCGTAGGATTGCTGCATAAATGATGTGTGTTGTTGATACTTAACACACGTATGCCTTGGACCTAGTAAGCCATATGTGTCTTTTTGTGTGCCTGCAAAAAGATGTAGTGAGAAGCAGGCCAAGACTGAACTGTTATACAGAAAGTTTCAATCTTTTCGCTTATGGCCGAAAACGTCTACTTAAAGTCTGAATACCCATGGACAATGTCGACAGGTTAGGTGTTCGGCCGTGTCGGTGCTTGATGCGAATTTACGGTCGCAGCGTGTACGGATTAGCGGTATCTATGCTACTGATGGTGGTTGCGTTCTCCCTGCGATGTGTATGAAGATGTCGGACCGGGGGAACCAGGACTTGATCACGGTGTAGCAGTGAGGACAGGTGAGGGGATGTCCTCAATCGTCAGGCCGGATGCTGTGGTGGTGTTTTGTGGTGTGGGAGTAGTTTGGACTTGTTACCACCACGGCGGATGCAAAGGCAAACAAGGAGGTCCATCTGAGTCCTTTATCTGAATTATCAATGTAGACATCTTGAAGGACCGCGTTTTCTCGACGTTAGTCCGTTGCTTGTGTGTCTTGTATGCTTCTCGTTTTTTTCATGGTCCCCGCTATTCGACTGGTTCCGAAGATGCGCTCCAACTTTTATGGCAGTGGACCAAGCCTCCCGATCTTGTGGTAGGTCTTCTCAGGTTTCATGGTTCATTCTAAAGTACCCGAGAGTGGTCTTCAGGGTGTGTTTGTATTGCTTCATTTATCTGCCTTGTCAACGAACACTTATGTGGACGCCGCCGTTATCTTTTTCCCACCCATCTTTGGTATTCTTCCGAGGCAAGTGGAATGAGTGTGGGTTTAGTTTTCTTATCTAGCTTTCATACGCTACGCAAGTCACCGTCCCGTACAGGGGCCGAATCAGGAATAGAGTCCTGCACATTCCCACTTTCATATTAAAGAGGATGCCACGGTTACTTCAGATTGAGCTTTGCAGCCTGCCCAAGGTCTGGCTGATCTTGGCAATCCGACTTGCAATTTCGGCTTTGCTCTTGATGTTTCCAGGCAAGCTGATTTCTTCGTATATCTGGAGCTTGTTCCATTGGCATTAGCCATGTGTGCGTTAGCACCGTTTCGTATATCGCCACCTTATGCCCTGTACTGAGGGTCACTTCGACATTTAAGAAGCCGGAGGCAAAGTGCTTTACCATGCGTTGCATGTAGCTTTCGGCTGTGCTATTTATAGAGCAGCCATTGACGAGTAACAGACCGTGGACACTGACCGTAAATACTTTCGGCTTCGCCTGCCGTTGATTCACTCTTTGCGGTATGCATCTGTCAGCCCGGCGGCAACAATAAGGTTGTAGAGGGTGGGAGCGAACACACAGCACGCATCAAATGTTGGCATGCGCCTATAGACCTTAGTATAAACAGACCTACTGCTAGTTTGCAGTTAATTTCTGAGGAAATCAAGGTAACGATAGTGTGTAGAGCGTCCAAGTAGAGGAAAACTCCAAAAATATGCCCTAAAATTCAGTGTGACTGTAAACATCACTTAGTATTCATCATTCCCATCGTTTGTAATTTCCTTCCTTTCCTGAATAACTGTAAACTTAGCAGTGGCGCTTTATTCACAGGCCGTTATTTGTTGAAAATTGTTTTTTTTTGTTTGTTTTTTAATTATCGCGCTCACTTTCATTGCCAAATGACAGCGTACGACAAGACGTTCGGCAGAAATTGATCTGTTTTCCGCGTCTTCTCGCTCTCCGTCCTGTGTGTCGCCCCTCCCGTAAAACCCTCGCTGCCACTATTCAACATATGGCACGGTCCACAGGCTAGCTCAATTTATTTCGGGGTCCTACACCCTGTCGTTGCCGAAATTAGAAAGCAGTCCATCGTGCTTCTGGATGTCCAAAGTTCAGTATGATGTTTCATAGTCCATAAAAAAGGTTGTATGAAAGCTTAGTTTTTGCGAGCCAAAGTTGTTATCCGATTTCTCGATAACCGAATTTTTGCGTGCCCAAGCACTGCTCCAGTTGAACTTGCAGGCGATCGAGTAGCGTGCGAGAAAAGGCCTTGCCAGCAATATTTAGAGGGGAGATACCTCGGTGGTTATCGCAGATTTGCCGGATTCATTTCAATTTGTGTAAGTGAAAAGCTGTTGCATCCTTGACCCCGTGCGAGATTGGCTCTTGTCGCGCATCCTCTGGAACGGTTAGATGAGGTGGTCCACGCCTCTACAGTTCGGCTGCAATTGAGTAGGCCCATGAGTATTTCCATTTGTCATCCGTTCTACGCGTCTGATAGCCCAAGGAGGGAGGGCGGGCGTTTGAGAGCAGTAGTTGTTTCTACTCGAGGTCGTCTATTGATGACATCCTCGCATATTGTAGATGCACGGCTGAAAACGCCCAGAGCTCAGTTATCACGATTTCTCCAACACGAGGGTTGAGCCGCCCCAAACTTATTGTATAGCAGGCTGCGATGAAGTTCCTTATCTCGCCACGGTCCCTCTATCCCTGAATGTCTTCTGCCCTGCCAGTTAGCCAGTGATTTTGCATCAGCCTCGGCCTCTCCTACTCTAGGTCTCGGCATCGGAAGGGTGCGGCTCTTAAAGCTTTGGCCCTGTTGTTGGCATAGCTGGCGTTTAGCCTGCTCTTTCCGAGGGCAGACGTTGCATTTCGTCATTTTTATCGTAGAATCAGTCCTGACGCCACTGGCGCATGCATCGGAGACCCTAGAAAGTAGGATCCGCATGAGGTATTACAGCTCCTTCCATTCAACCTGAAAATATTCCCCAAGACTCGCATTCATACTCCGACACACCTAATGTTTCTACCGTCGGTGTCCAGTCCGGAGTAGCCGCTACGTCTGCATTGAGTAATTTATGCTAAGAGATTCTCTGGCTATATCAATCTCACACTTCCCACACCCAGAGTGTCCAGGTTGCAAGATGTCACAATGACTACATATGAGCGTTGGTGCTGGCTGGAGGTGTTAAACAGCCTTTCTGCTTGTGCACGCATAGCCTGGTCCGGAAAACCAGGAAATTAGGACCAACATCCATATCCACTCCGTCGATCTGACGAAAACCTTCGACACAGTGAGTCGTGGCGCAGTATGGAAAGTCATCCAGAAATTCGGATGCCCAGAACAAATCACTCAAACGGTAAGACAACTTGGGGACGGGATGACGACTCGCACCGCGGACAAGGAGTGAGCCTTTGAAGCATTCCTGGCGGCCAGTGGGATATAGTAGGGCTGCGTACTCGACACCATCTCGCTCTGTATCATGTTCTTTGCCTTGCCGATGAGCAACTTGTAGTGGCCCTACTCGGGGCGCCTGTTACAACGCTGTGTCTCTCGCGAGTACTCGTACGTGCGCACCAGTGGTAGTCTCGTTCTCTGCAATTCACGGCTGTGCAAATCGACTAATCATTCTCAATGCCGACTCACGCGTACTCTGGCTCAAGACCCCGTGACGGATTCAAAAAGTTTACTGGGGGCGCTCTTCTCGCGGCACCGGACGTGTTACCTCATCCATTTGCCAACTCATTCGAACTGGTTCTCCAATCTCTCTGTATAGAATACGGTGTCCTCTCAAATGGTGTCCAAAAACTTTATTTGGGACCGGGCCTGAGTGCGGTAATTGTTAAGTCTTGTCTATAGTTTCGACTGCCGCCACAGGATACCGTGAGGTACGGCGGGAGATCGGTATTGACTACCGAACCGATGGGAAACTGCCCAGCACTCCCCGCCTAAAAGCATCTTCAGGGTAGAGAAGGCCAACGTCCACGACTTATTGTTCGCGGACGACTGCAAGCTAAACAGCACAGTGGAAGAGGACACAGCGGAGTTTGGACCTATTCGTCTCCGATCGCTTCAACTTCGGGCTGGCTATTAACACGTAGAAGACTGTTATCCTGCGCTAACCGAAGTCAAGCGCTGACAACACCGAGCACTGTTTCAATGTCAGTGGAACTCAGTTCACAGTAGTGGGGAAATTCGGGTGCGTTTTGAGTACAATTTCAATAAACTTCATGATCGACGTCGTAGTAGCACGTCTGCTCTCCAAAGTTAGCCAGGCCCCTGGCCGCGTAGA